TCAAGCCACTCCCAAACAAAAGCAAAGAAAGAAACCTAGGAAAAAGATGCATTTCTATTGCACAACTAGGTAAACAATCAAAGCATGCTTTTATTTATAAATAAAGTACAAGGAATGAAAATAGAGTCAACATTATTACAACTAGATTTGACAGCTGAGTTGTCTGCCATTATACAACCCAGTCAAAATTACAGACTCTACTTGTGGGATTCTTCAGGCTCTTGACTTTTGAATGGACATTGGGCTTCACCTTTGACAGGTACATCCTTCTAGTCCACTTCATTCTTTTGCTCCAAACCCCCACAAGTTTGATACAATTACAATTCTATCAAATACATGTTTGAAAAGAAAAGAGACTCAAACTTGCAGTGGATTAGAAACAGTTTATATAATAAAGCATCACATTAAGAATTTTGTTTAGCACTTAGAGTGCCAAACGCATGCTTCTACCATATTGGCCACATCTTTGGGGGGTTTCAAACAACACCTGTCATGCAATCAGTTTATTATTTATGAGCGCCCCCTTTTTAAATATGACCACTTGCAAGAAGAACATGTATATTTCTACATTATCCACTTAAGGGCAAGTGCCCACAACGTAGACAATCCAAGGGCAATCACACCACAACATCAAATACATGCGCAGAAAAGAAAAAATCCTAATCCTAGCATGCCTAAGGGGCTGTGCACCTAAGTGTGTGAGGCTTGTGTGGCATGTCACACTAAGGGTGTTTGGTTTCATTTTGGAATGAAAATGTTTAATCTTTATCCAAATGTGATTTCACTTTAAGTTGTTTGTGACTTAAAGATTTTATTTGATTTTTTAAATGTTTCATATTTAGGAGGGTTATGAAGAACCCATAAAGTAACCACATGCTTGCTTTTGGGCAAGCCTGTTACTTATGAATCCTGAGATACAATGGTGTAGGCATCCCGCCTTTTGGGGAAGATGCTTGATCATTGCATCAAAAGGAACTTATGTAATTTTTTAGGTGTTTTTGAAGTTCTTTTAATGTTTGGATAAGAGAAGCGTCTATCTAATAGGGTAAGACAGACATGCCTAAGGGGTTTCACTTAGGACTTGGTGAAATCCATCCAATAGGGTAGGATGAACTTCAACAGATTGGATAATTCCTAAGGGACATCTATGGGTTTAGTATTTTAAAAGTCATAGAAAAGATCACTCAATTTGGGTTGAGTGAAAGGGATTACTTAGATTTTGAGTCTAAGAAAGGTGTCCAACATATAACTTTTGGGCTATATGTGGGAGAATTCTCCTTAGCTTTTGGAGCTAAGAGAAGAAATCTCCTACAACTTTGGAGTTGGAGGAGAAATGACCTATAGCTTTTGGGCTAAGGTATGACATTTTCTAAGGCCTTTGGAACCTATAGAAGTGAGGGCGATTAATAGCTTTGAGGCTACGAATCAAAAGAGTGTCTCCTTGAATTTTTTGTATTCAATGAGTTGAGTTTCATTTGCTTAATTTGGATTAGGCAAACAAAGGTGAGTCATTTATTAAGTTTAGCTCAATAAGTGAGAAAGATTTATAACTTTGGAGTTACAAATCAAGAGAGACTATCATTGAACTTTTATGTTCAATGATGGGTATTTAGTTTGCTCAGTTTGGATTAAGCAAACATGAAAAGATGATGTGTAGATTTGGCCTACACATCAAGGATTATTTGTTGAATTTGGTTCAACAAATAAAAGACTTTGGATTGAACTACTTGTTGATTTTGATTCAACAAATAGGTGATTTGGAATAAGATTGATTCACTTACACTTTCATACAACTTTTGAGTTATAGAAAGGAGAAGAGAAGATGCAACTTTGGGTTGCAAAGAGTCCTAGGAATGAGTGCATTTAATTTGAAAATTTACTTGATTTGGCTCTCCAAATTCGGAGAGATTTCAAAGGTGATTTCAATTAATCATTTTGTTATGGGATTTAAAACATAAACCATAGATGTTCATGAAAGACCCCACCACTTCATGAAGTAATTGAAATGCACATTTGAACATCCAATAAATTTGGGGAAAACCAAAAGTAGCATAGCAATATAAACCTTCTACATGCATTCATTAATTTTGTCATAACGTGCGAATCTAGAGGACAAACAATTATGCCACATTTAGAGAAGAATTCTACACCTCGACATTCAATTTTGAATCAAATGTAATCACATATCCTATGGTTTAGTTGTAGGTGAAGGCGCTGGAAAGCAACATGATGCTATTTCATGCATTTAGAGGGCGTTGGATACCAATCCAACGACCCTACGCATATCGGCATGCCTCTTTGGCTCTTACAAGAGAGCAAACAAACGGAAATCACCGGATTTCCGCTGTTTTACGGAGAGGGCAGCACAGATGGGTTGGGGAAGCAAGCAAATGAAGTTTCTAAGGGACCTATGGCTTGGGGACGTCATCCACACATCAATGGCCTTGGGGGACCCTAGGTTTCACTAAGTTTTAGTGTTTTACCTCACCCGGGTTGTCCTAGCGCTCCAATCCAAGCTCCAATTGCTGTCCAAGCTCCTTTGAAAGCTCCAAACTGCTGTCCAAGACTTTCCCAAGGAAGAAGGCTGCTGTCCAAGCGTTTCCGGATGGCGTCGCTGCTGTCCAAGCCGTTCCCAAGGGTGGATTTGCTGTCCAAACTGCTCCGGACAGCAGTTTTCACTGTTTGGAAGGCTCTCAGAAGTTGCGTAGCTGCTGTCCAAGCTTTTCCCAACGTCGCCGCTGCTGTCCAAGCCTTTCCGGATGGTGGATTTGCTGTCCAAACAGCTCCGGACAGCAGTTTGCTGTCCAAAAACGCCCCAAACAGCAGCTTGCACTGTTTTGATGTTGCCGGAGATGATTTGGAAGGAAGTAGAGGCTTCCTACCTTCTCTTGGCTGCAGCATGGGCTGATTTCAGCATGCCTTTGCCCTAGACTATAGAGGTGTTGACCTGCCGTATAAAACAAAAAAAATTAACTCACCTGTTCGGCGCCGAACTCCGCACGTCGTAGCCACTGAAATCCCGTAAATCTAGCGATCAAGAGGGGATTTCTTCTTTCCAATTGAACGGAGAGAGCAATGGCAACGAGAGGGAACTCATTTTCAGCCCAAAGAAGAAGAAGACAACAGTTCTTGGCTAGGTCGCACGCAAGAAGCCACTAGTTGGCCTCTTCCTCTCGCCTGGACGGATGCAGGAATCGCAAGCAAGCAAGAGCCGCTCCCTCTCCCGCTCCTTCTTTCGCTCGGGACGGGGAGAACACGCACGCAAGGGGGGCGGAATCCCCCTTTCTCCCGCTCCCTCTGCGACGGACGAACCGCACGAAGCAAAAAAAAATGGGGGAGCCGATCGCTCCCCCTCCCTCCCATGCTCTGACTGGGATGGGTGAACAAGCAGAGAGCCGAGAGGCTCTCTCCGTCTCCCTCTTCCACTCTATCTCGGACGGGTGAACAAGCTTGGAAGAGCTGAATCCCTCTTCCGCTCTTTTCATTCCCTCTTGGAGATCGCAAGGCTAGCTGGCCTCACCGCCCAAAGGAGCCAATCAATCCTCACACACGTGGAATGAGGGATTTAGGGCAGAATTCCACAAGAAATCTGGGCCCTTCATTTAGATTTCAGATTTAGGTATTTGATTTAGCCTAAATCAAACAATTGGGGCTGAAATTGAGCCCAAATTGGACTTGACTCAAACCGATTTGGGTCGGTTTGGGTCCGAGTGGGTCCGATCAAGTTAATTTTGCAAAATTAAGCTTGAATCGGCGCCGAATTGTGTCGAATTGGGCTCGACAACGCTCGACGGGATTTGATTGGTTTGATTTGATTTTAATTAAATTAAATTGGGTTTAATTTAATTAAATTTGAGTTTAATTCGGATTAATTTCACCTCGACGATGATCAATTGAGTTGATCGAGCGCGATCGAGCTTTGTCGGGCTCGATCGGGGTCGAGTCAATGCGAAAATATTCGTCAACAGAAGGAATCAAATAAGTGGAGATCATCCATCAGTCCATCAATTTAATAATTTATTGTTCTTCCTATATCACAAATTATAAGATAGACTAAACATTGTGAACTATGACTAGTCCTTCGTTACACCAAAGCATCCATATCTAGAAACAATCAAAAGAGAACTTCAATGTTTATGAAGTTAACGTAAAGCTCTGAACTTAACTTATAGAATAAAATAATCACCATGCTAAAAGCATTCAAGCCTTTAAATACTAACAAATATCTCATCTCTTTTAAGTGTAAACAATATTCAAAACATTGCAAGTCATTGAGTTCCTTAACTATGAAGATATAATAGTTTGGAATATCTTTAGCTCGTCAGCTGACACATTACCATCCAAAAAGGTTTGTAAGAAATCCCCAAGTTGTGCATTCAAATCCAGGATCTTAGTCTTAAGTTTTAAATGTTTTCAAATTTTAGAGAGTGGTCACAAGTCTAGGTGGGGAATAGAGGAAGAAATCTTCATAAAACTTTTATTGACGTTAGAGTATGTTTTTAACAGAGGTTACAAGTAAGCTTTCGCCTGAATATCCAGATAATCTCAGAAGATCTTCACCAAGCTTAATTTACCAATGATTTCTTCATCTCATCCTCTCTTTTCTCCCTGTTCATCTATTGTAACGCACAATTTTCTTCGAAGCAAAGTCTCTAGTTTTGTCATAGAAGCTCACTTCCAATTTTCTTAAATGCGTTGAATAAGAGTAAAGAACAAGGGCTAGAAGTGAAAGATATGTTTCTATGAAGAATGAAACCTTTTTCTACTCATATTTAAATCAAAACTGAAGTTTTATTATGCAAAATAATAATAAAAATTTGGCCTGTTACAGTTTGGATTTTGTAGATTACTACTTTTAAATAGCATTTTCATAAAATAATTTTCTTGCTTGATTTTTCCATCTTCATGTATAAATTCTTCCTGTCCTATTTTTCATACAACAAATATTTGATTGTTTTCTTTCGTAATTGTTTGGTGAATTTTTGAATTCTCAACAACAGGATGCTCCATTGGCTGTGCTAAAGGAGCTGGAAGCATTTTTGCTAGAAAACTGTCAAGCGGTGAGGTTTCTTAGAAAGTCTTATCTTATTCCTTAACAGCATTTTTGTTCTTCATCATCATAACTTCATTGTTTTGTGATTTTAGTTTGCATCTTCCCTCTTCAATTTTAAATTAAAACCCTGACTGAATCATGTGCAAACTTCTCGCTATTTTGAAACTGTTCTCTGATCTATTGTTCAGTTTCCCCCGCATTCAATTGATTTGTAGCAGAAAATATGCATGTTCCTTTAGTCTTCTCAAGCGACAAGGTGTTGGTAATGCAGTTGATTGCTATGGGTCTTGCTAACAGTTGTTCATCAGGATTTAATCGTTTTTAAATACACTATTTCGTTAATATATTTTATCACCCAACTACCTTAGATTTGTTTCTCTTCTTTAATCGCTTGGCTGAATTATTCTTTCTAAATATGATATGTCCATCTGTTTCTTTGGACATTCGTTTTGCCTTCATATAGTAGTCCCTTGGCTCTTTATAAAAGATCAAAATAATCCCCAACTATATTAAATGACAATTTTGGTTCATCAACTCCTTAAAGAGGAACCAAAATACTCCCACCGTGGAACTATTTTGATTCCTTTTTAAAGGCTCGAGGGACTAAAATGGTCCTTTAATATAGTTGGAGACCATTTTGGCCATTCATAAAGCGTTAATGGATCATTTTGATCATTTTCTCCTTATAATGCATACCATTTTCATTAACTTTGGCTTGGTTCTTTGTTATAATTAAGAAATGACTATTATAGACTGATGGGTGGAGTGATATATATTGGAACTATGGTTGTTGAAATTCCACATTGTTGATTTGAAATTTTATATTGTGAAGGATAGAAAATGCATCCAATAGATGTGTTGATATAATTAGTGTTGAAGGATTAGTGAAGAAAAAAGGTGCATTTTGCATAATATAGATAGAAGTTGTTTAAAATGATTTTTGAAGCATGAGTTTTCACACCTCAATAAATACTCAACATAACAAAATGAAAAATGATTATTCATAAACCCACACTAAATCCAAATATTGTGGTAAGAGTAATAATGATTATAATGTTTTGTGTTATCCATGTTTATATTCTCTTTGACAGCTTGTATGAACCACATTTGCAGATTTTATGCATTAATTTCTTTCTGAATTTCTTTTCATCTTATCAAGGAGCAAAGTGAGGTACGATTCTGTGTGATGAGGTGGGCGACATCCTTATTTTGTTTACATCATTGCCCTAGCCGATACATTTGCATGCTTGGAAATGAAGACACAAAGATGGATATAAGGTAGAACCATGTTTATTGTTTTATTACTTCTGAATTCAACCACTTGCATTCAATAATATGAACCACTTTTCCTTTTTTACTTTCTATCATGTTTGGGTTAATTTGTTCGTGCTTTTATGTTGATGCATTATCTTACCCTCAGGTTTTTTAGAACTTTTTTTTAATGTTTAAATCATTAACTTACATAAGTTAATCTAAACATTCAGTATAGTACGTGGAAGCATAATTTTAAATTGAGGCACGCCTCCGCGCAATTTGGACCCATGCCACCTTATTGCCTAAGCAAATTTGGCGTTTGTTGAGGCTTATGCCTCAGGTACAGTGAAGGTGTCCACCCCTTCCTAGGTAAGATTATTGATTGCCAAGATGATCAAGATGCTAAATCTTCATTATGCAGGTAATCTGTTACGCCCCGCCAGTTCAGGTTAGAGCCAGTCGCTCGGTTCTGAGGAGCCGGACCCAACTGTCAGGAATAAGGAGGGTATTTCAGCTCCCTTTGTGGGACCAAGGATAGTTATAATTCAATATGCATGGAAGAGAAATAAAGGGAGAAGTGTTTAGGTAGGTTTTAATTAAAATTGGGAGGGAATTATTTAGGGAAAGTGATCCAAATTCAAATTAGGGAGAATCATTTAAGGAAATGGGCTGATTTGGAGGGAAATAAAGAAGCCTATTTAGGGCTAACTATGTTGTTATTTTCAGAGCATGTGATTTGTGTTTGCTGTAGTTTTCTTGGGAGTAGTTCGTAGTGGCGTCTAGGGCTTATGGAGAGTTGATCTATCTCTCGAATAGTAGATTAACTTGTATCTTAGTTTTCGGTGCTGAAATAAAAGTCTTGCTCGCTGATTTATGTTGTGTTTTTCTCTCTGTTCTTGCTGTTTTCTGCTATTAGTAGGCCCGTTACGCATCATAATCATTGATAAAAATAAACTGCTTGGAAATGATACTCTTTTTTGTTTTAAAATAATCCGAAAATATACCTTTGATTATTTGTATGTGTCCAATTTAGTTTGAGCATTAGAAATTTCTACTATATTACTTCGATTATGCAAAACTGATCTTAAATGATCCCTCAAGTAAAATTTGATAGAAATCAGGATTCAAAATTTATGCAAATTTAGTCCCTTAACTATACCAACTTGGTCCTAATTGAGTTCCACAAGAATCATTTGGGATCAATTTTGTATAGTTAAGAGAAAAATTAGAGAAATATGATACTTTGGGATTAAATTGGCCACATTACCATAGTCAGGGACCATCTTGAAATTTAGGCCTTTTTTGTTCTTTTGAAACCTATTATTGTCAAGACTGGGATTGAGGTTGATGGCTAATTTCTTATTTTAAAATTGAATAAAAATAGCAACTAAGAGCAATTTCAAGCTGTTTAGACTACTTTCATCGGCAAGCTGATCAACCTAATCTTCTCCATCTCTCCAAATATGTTCAAATCTAAATTGAAATGAAAATATTACATATTTGTTCTTCTCATCAGGTAAAATCATTCCAACTTCTAGTCACAATGCTAAGGAAAAATCCTTAATATTTATTTTATCTTCAATCCATATATTTAAAGCTTTGCAACATATATGAAACTCTAAGTCAATAAACAAGGTAAAGAGAAGACTCGTTGACCTTTGTATGTATCTTGCAAATAATTCGAGCGAATATGATGACGATAGTGGTCAACAGATGTGACGTCACACGAAATGGGCTTGAAACACCTTAACGCTACCTGTTCAAGAAAAGGATAGCACCAATATGTTTGGAGCATCAAATTCAACAAAGAATGACTCCTGCAATTACTTGGAACAAATGCAAAGAGAACAATGGACTATGGACGCGGTGTCATGCAAAAATTGTCAAACATTGCCTATTCGCAAAATGTACTATGTCGTTGCGTCCAAAACATCGTATTTACTCAAAAAAGCTAGTTCACACGCACTTCAATTAAAAATAATGAAAATGATTGATTACGGATGCGACGTCATGCATAAGCTGTCTATTTCACAAAACGACATATGCCTATGCATCCAAAATGTCCAAATGACCTAGAGAGAATACTTGTATTGAGCAGGTTGTTGTGTGAAGGCAAAATAGTAAATTTTCTCAAACGCAATGTAACTACACGAAAATTAAGATGCTTAAGAAATTATAAATTTCATGGGAAATTAAGCCACACTTATTTTCCTTATTTATTTATTTTTATTAATTTAGTAAAGAAATAATATCAAAAGAAATCTCTACCATTGCTATTAATATCCTTTAAATTCAGCTGAGTTCCTTTAAAATTTTACACCACATTAAGTACTTTGTATCCCATCTCCCTATGCCTTATCTGCATGATCTGTGAGGAAAAAAAAAATTCCACCGTCTTTTCCATCTAGGCATAGCACCAAACGCGCCTCTGTTTTCGCCAACTCCCTCTCTTCTTCTCTGTTTAGCAAATAGCTCCTCAGGCTGAGTCCTTCTTAGTTGCATGATACATTGCACTGACCTCCATTTCATCTGAGCTTCTCTACTGACTTGCTCTGTACTTCACACATCGACAATCTTTACAGTCTCCATCATTGATGTCTTTGCTTCCTCCTCAGCTTTGCTCCTTGTCTCAAATGACTTCCCTCCCTCTCGGACGTGTTGAGCTCATAACTCACTATGCATCTCTTCTCCTCGCTTACACCGTCTCCAGCTAGCTCTCCAAACCCTTGACGCCACATGCCCGGCCAGCACAAAGTTTCTCTCTTCTCATCTTCATTTCTTTCTATACCTTCCTCTCTCTAAACAGAGGGGGATCTCAACACCCCGAATTTTCTATTTAAATAGATAAATTTATTCTTCTCTCTAGCTATCTCTCTCCACTCTCTCTCTTTTCATTTTTTCTTCTACCTTATACTCTCTCCATCTCTTACCCTCTATTTCCTCATCTCTTGCCTCATTGTATAAATCCTCTCTTTAAATAGATAAATCTGTGTTTTCGACTTGTCAAAAATTTGGTCTTCATAGCCTTGTGCGAAAGGTATAATTTGATACTTCAAAATTATTCACCTGTGCGCAGTGTTCCAATGTGGAGTGGAATATTCAAAATTAAGTACTTGTGCGTGCTGTTCCAATACTGTTGGGAAATTAGGTGATGGGGGCTTATCTGGCCTTTTTAAGCATCGTGTGGTCTTACTCCTTCAAACTCTTTGCTCCTACCCGAAATTCTTGAAACTCATAGCATTAAGGATGAGGTGTGGAGGTCACATTGGGCATTTGCTGTGAAGGGCAAATGGGGAGCAACAATATATGATGAAGAAAAATTATCGATGCTTGCAGGTTTACACATATTCAACATTGCCGGAGCTGCATCTTCCTTCTTAGCATCAATACCCACCCCCAACCCCCAAAAAATCCTTCATCAATCTCAATTGCCAACGACCACGTCCTACCACTAATAGTCTCCTTCATCTAATCGTGGGGCTTAACTCCTTCACACTCTTTGCTCCTATCCGAAGTTTTTGAAAGTCATAGCATCAAGGAGGCATGGAGGTCACATTGGACATTGAAGGCTCCAGGGGAGCAACAATGTATAATGAAGAAAAATTCTCAAGGCTTGTGGGTTTACCCATATTCGACATTGCGGAGCTGCATCTTCCCCCTTCTCCTTAGCAACCTCAACTGCCAACGGCCACCTCCTACCACTAATAGTCTTCTTCATCTTCTATGAATTAATCAAAATTTAGCTCACTGCCTCAACTTTTCCCAGACTATCTTAATACAGAGGCCAACATTAACAGCCTTTTTCCCTATTAACACATCTACCTCTGCGCTTTGTAAAGGAGCAGGTTTCTATATTCGAGGATCCATTTTGAATATAACTCCTTACTTTAGAAGAGTTCTGCATAAGATACTGATGGAAACTGATTAATAATCAATAAATCATGAAAAAAGACTGCATTACCCGCACCTAATTCCCAACAAATCTTCTTTTCCACCACCTCTTTAATTGCTCGGAACTTTTCCATCCAGCAAAATCCAAACTTTTGTTCCACCTAACTAGGTTGAACACCTTTACAGTACTTTAAACTAAGAAAGTTAGCCCATAAGCAATATTGAGCTCATAAGGGATTGGACAAGAAAATTTTATACTTGAAAGAATTAACAACGTAGCATGGTCTACTGAAGAGTAACTTTAAATTAGATTCCCGCTTTCCCTAAAAGCACATTGCGAATTAATCCAATGTATATATATATATATATATAGACATAGCATCAACAATCTCTCCCATAGCATTAAATTAAGGTTCCCTTTTTTCCTTCCTTGAATCTTGAGTATGATAATAAAATACCCTACAATCATCCATTGTTTATAATTTTAACGTGACTAAGATCGTTCCACACCTTCCTTCTTTTGATTTAAAAGAGCTTGCATGCACAAAAGCGCACTGAGCTTCATCTCCTACTTGAAAGTGCTACATGTAGTGGCAGATGGCTATTAACTTCCTTTGCTTAAATCCTTTTTTCCCAATAAAAGACTGATTTGTTGGATCTATTTGTCTCCACACATTGGAATACCATAAGTCTATAAAAAGGAAATATTATTGGATTGAACAATAGGAGAAAGCTTTTTAAGACTTACATTAGTTGTTGTGCTTGTAGTACATGTGATATTTTTTACCATAGCTTTTGCCATCGTTTTCCTGTTTTAACTTTAGATCTAGTAGGCCTTGTTTGAGGAGCTTCTACCTCTTCAATCTCTTTTTCTTTTTATAAAAAACTTTAATAGGACCTTCCTCATCACTAAGGGATTAGTGCATTTAGATTTGTCCTAGTTGAGATATGAGAATGTTGCTCGAAAGAATCCAAATATGAAGCAAGAACTTAAGACCTGTCATGTTCTTCACTGGAAGAATCAAAATTGATGTAGACAAGGGGGGGGTCAACTCATGTCCAAAATAAATCAATTTTGTCCTCCCTCGAATTTACAAGCTCAATCAAAATTGAGCTGAAATTTTAGCTCATTTATGAGCTGGTCTTTAGTTCACTTATTGAACTAAGGGTTAGTTCATTATTAGCTAAGTTTAGTTCATAGTTATCTTTTATTTAATGTACTTTTTATTATAGTTTTTAATATCTTCATTTAAGTTGTCTCTTGGGTTTCCAAAAGGGCTTTTGGAATCCCAAGAAGTTGTTTGGTTCCACTCTTCTTTCTCATCCCCTCCGGAAATCTTGCGAGCTCTTTCCAACCTTTCGTCTCGGCTTCTAATCTCTTCGTCTCTCCGCAAGTGCCACTCCACCTGTATCTTTCTTCCAAGTGCAGCAACTTTAGGGTGTCGTCTTTAATTTCGAGTCGAGTTTGTAAGTCGTTGTAATTTTGTGTTTTTAATTTCTAAGTCGGTCTTAGATTTGAAATGTAAGAGTTTGCTCTTCCTCATCTTTAGTCCATTCTTTTATTTTAGAGTGTTAGCGGGTGTTCGGGTGGCTCATCTCTTTTGTGTGGGCGGGGTATAGGCTCACTATATTTCTTGCCCCCACCAAAAATCCAAACCACAATTCTGTTTTACCAAAGGTATTTTAATTCCAGTTACTGATAGCATCCCAGCATAAATATTTAGCAAATAATCAAATCAGGGGGGTTTAATGTTGGCACATTCACTATATCATTCATCAGAACCTGATCCGCATCCAGATTAAATGCTGCAACAGTTTCTGCAGAATTCTGCAACACAATGAATTATTTATGCTCTCCCCCCTCTTTATCGGCAACAATTATATCCTTATTCCCGAGTATCAAAATATTCTCAACCTGAATCATAACATCATTAGGGTCCCCATTTGATTGAACTTTGTAAATTAGTTGATGCGTTTTCTATTTTTTTTATTTAATTCATGAGATCCATTTGATTTAAAGAATTTCTGAAGGACATGTGCACATAATTAGAGGAAAAGTTTTACTCATCAATATGCCAAGAGGATGCAATCATCATTAGCCCTAGTAAAGCTTGACTTCCACGAGTAACCATGCTTGCAATTCTCAATAAGCTAATTAAAAATGTATAATTTATTTCTAAAATTCTGCTCTGCATCTTCTCATTTGATACCAAGTACTTGTGGTGTAGATATGTGGTTGAAGAAAAAGGTAGAGCAATAAATTGAGCAGGAGAATTATAAGGAGATAAAAGTAGAGGTGAAAGGATGTTGTGTAGATGGATTGTTTGGATTTGGAAGTGCTGCTATGGGATGTGAGAAGAGAATATGAATATGGTTTGCTTGGGATGTAAGGAATGGTGAAAAAGTGCTAAGAGGACTTCTTAAAATTTACATTGAGTTCAAATCGAAAAATGAACATTTTATTCTTAAAAATGCTACAACAACATCAAGCCTTTATCCAACTACATGGGGCTGGCTACATGAATACTTTTTTCTCCATTGTGTCCTATTAAGAGTTAAATTCTCATTTAAATCTAATAAAGAAGCATTTCTAATATTTTCTAACCATGTTTTTTCGGTCTATCTCTACATTTCTTAACATATACCAAATCTATTATATCTACTCTCTTAACCTGGTCATCGGAAGGCCGTCGTTTTATGTGGCCAAATCATCTTAGGTGACTCTCTCTAATCTTATTTACCATTGGAGCTATTCTAACCTTTTCATGGATATTCTTGTTTTATATACTGCCTTTAAGAGTAAAGCCACTCATTCACTTGACCATCCTCGTCTCTGTAACACTAAACTTGATATTATGCTTCTCTTTTAATGGATGACATTATGTGCCATAAAGCATTGTAGGTCTCACCACCATCTTATAGAAGTTTCCCTTAAGTTTGAGTGGTACTTTTCTATCACACAACAAGCCCGATGCATTCCTCCACTTCAACCATCCAAATTGAATTCTACTAATGATATCTCAATCTATTTCACCATTACTCTGAATAATAGACCCAAGATATCTAAAATATGTATTCTTATTAATGATTTCATTGACCGAAGTCAAAATCCCCCACTAGATCTATTACTAATAAAATTACACTCCATGTATTCAGTTTTAGATCTACTAAAATGAAAATATTAAGACTCTAAGGTTGATCTCCATAATTCAAGTTTACCTTCAATTTCTTTCTAATCTTATCAACAAGTAGGATATCATCAATAAAAAGAATACACCAGGGTACATTCTCTTGCAAATGTCTAGTAAGAACACCCATGACTAAAGCTAAAAGATATGGGCTTAAGGTTGATCCTTGATGTAATCCAACTGACATAGGAAAATACTTGGTCAAAACACCTTTTGTTTGAACACAAGTAATAGCTCATGCATACATATTCTTAATGACTTGAATATAAGCATTATTAACCCCTTTTTTTTCTACAATTCTCCATAGCACTTATCTTGGAACTTTATCATATGCTTTCTTTAAATCAATAAATATTATATTAGATTCTCCTTTCTCTATATTTCTTCATCAAACCTCTCAATAAATATATAGCTTCCATAGTAGACTTACCTGGCATAAATGCAAATTGATTTTGAGAAACATTAGTATTACATCATAACCTATGCTTCATAACTCTCTCCCTTAGTTTTAATGTATGACACATTAACTAAATTCATCTATAATTCACACAATCTTGTGCATCACCTTTATTCTTAAAAATAAGAATCAACAGACTCATCTCCTTTATTCTTTAAAATGTTTCATGCCATTATTTGTAGTTGCTTATTTTGGAATGTCAAGTACAAAGTGCCATTTTTGTGTGGTAAAAGTACTTTTATGCTAACAGAACGTTTACTTTTATGCTTTTTATGTGGCCAGAGAATCTGGTCTATTGCGTTTTGCTCCAGATCCATTTAAGGCTGTTCTTTTACAGAAGCATTCCTATGGTTCTGATCTACTTATCATTGGAGTATCCGTTAATGCAGTTTTTGACGAGCCCAAAATAAAGGAGATTCAAAGTTCGAATTCTTTATTCCAGTTTTTTTTGCTATAGCTGTGTCCTGAATTCTTGAACTACATCAACTGACGAGATATGACATACCACTTTACCCTCCCCTTGGGACAGACTAGTCATGGATGCAGCAGTTTTTGTTCTTTGTAATGACATCTTTCTGACATACTTTTCTTGGATCCTTAAATAGGGAGCTGACACATGTTAAAGAATTGGGGAGATGGATGAGGCAGACATCCTTGCATCTTTTGACCTGCTACTTCAGAAGCTGTGGCTTCATGCCACAGCCGAGTTACCTCTCCTTTGCATTGAAAAGTAGAGTTTATACAGGAGAATCCTTCCTATTTTTTATTTGTGTTTTTGGAGCTTCTTCGAGCAAGTTCTTGCATTGAGTTGGTATAACTAAGCAAGAAAAAATTTTCCTTGCATGCTTTTAGTATTTACCTTTTTGAGAATGATCAATATGCTCCACTGATCTAATCTCATCCCTGACACCATATTTATGTCCAGAATATTGAACAACCCTTTTAATTATTCTCTTGTTCCGGGTGTTTGATCACTGGCTTTCTACTTTCAATTCATGTATTGTACTGTATGGAGTAGGATTAAATGCTCCTTTTATTTGTCACTGAAAATAGTTGTATAACAATTGCTTGAGTTTGTGCGTAGATTTTTTATTTTTTGTTCTTATTTTGTGGAGTTGTTCAGGGAAATGGCTCTTGAAGGCCTTCATCTGACCAAGGATCAAGAATTATTGAATAGTGCAGATGATAATGCCAATTATCCTAAGTTGAAAGATATGCTTGACTACATCTGTTTGCAGCAGCCAAAATTGTTAGATTCTACTGAGCATAGGGAGAAGGGACTTCTCTTTCCTTCAAAGACTTATTTTGCTATGGTTAGGTTTTTGTTGAAGTGCTTTAAGGCAGATTGCAGAATATGTGATTCTGTAACTGATGAGTTCAGAGCTACAGTACTGACTTTGTGCCAAGTGTTGGAGCATGGAATGGCTTTTGATGGATCTGTTGAGTTGCATGCTGCTTCCATGAAGGCTTTAGTTGAGATTGGTTCTCATCAGCAGAAGGTTGTTTCCTTACTATTTTTTTGTTTACATGCAGCACATGTTCACTCTATTATCATTTTTTTGGTTTCCTTGCTCGTTGCAGTTGGTGGCATCCCGATTTGCAGGACGCTTGCCTTGGTTAAAGCTTCTCTTGGGTCATGTTGATTTTGATACTCGAGAATCTGCATCAAGGCTATTGGGAATAGCATGTTCTGTAATTTCTACCACCGAAGCTACTGCTCTAACCACAGACCTAGTTTCCACAATAACTCAAACCAAATCGTTGAGGTCTGCCTAATTTCTTAACAGAGATTTGTATTTGCATTTATTTATGTGAAAGCAATGTATTTATTTCTTAATGATACAGGTATGAAAATCAACATGGGCTTTTGTGTGCAATTGGGTATGTTCTAGCAGAGTGTATGAAGGAAGTTCCCAAAGTAATTTTCGAGTCACCAGAGATATTTCTGTTTTTTCAAGTCAAATTTGATTCACTTTTTTTCATTTCGAATATCCTTAATTCTTAAGATTTCTATCTCTATTGGCTACTGGAACTCATTTTGAACGTTTTATTCAGTGGAATCAGATTAGGACCCATTTTAACGGTTTATCAGAAGTCTTATACTGGCTATCAACGTAAAATCTGCCTTTGTTTTGAGCTTGAGACTGATGATAACCTTTTTAAATGACATTTAATTTAGTCAACTAGAATATCATCCTAGTTCTTACTGTGTAGAATATGTGGCTAGAATATCAGCCTCCCCCACCTAGTGTGTGAATGTGATGTTTCGCAAGCTTTGGTATAAGTATCTTTGTAAGAACCTTCGGTTCCATAACCTGAAAACGAAGGGATGAAGACGTTGATTTGTTGCAGCCGGTTTTGTTACCTAAAAACGAAGAAGACATCTGTCATTTGAGTGTGCGTCGATTACGTCACTTGGAAGTCGAGGGAAATGAAGGAGCATTTGAGGAAGATGAATGGCTGGCCATTCCTTCATTCGGTATTGACAAAGACGAAGGATATGAAGAGCATGGAAGAGGGAGCATTCAATGTCACCCGGTGTCGAGGAGAAGGAATTTGAATGAGGAGTTGAATGGTAGGTGGGTCTCATAATTTTCGGGTGAAGACGAAGGGTTTGTTGGGGAGATAAAAGGCAATGGTTCGGTCCTTTACAAATCAGATAGACGAGAAGAAGGAGATAGAAGAGATCGAGAGAGAAATAAGTGTCAAGGGAGAAGAAGAGCACCAACGCCGATAGGGAGCGTTGATGAAGGCTTGGGCTCATAGGTTATTTTAAAGAATGGTTAAGTTTATTAGTAATTTTTTTTAAATATAATTTTATTTGATATTAGGGTTTTAAGGGAAGAGAAGAGTGGAAGATTATTGATTTTATTATGCATTTTTAAATTATGTGAATTTGTTAATTACTATAGAAAATATTAAGTTAAATGACAAACTAGAATTTTAAATTATTTTTTAAATTGAAAACAAGAATGTTTAGTGACTTTCTTTAATGTTTTCTTTCACTGGATCAACTCCAACCTTTTCATGCATATGGTTGTTTTGTATTTTGTCTCTAAGAGTAAAGTCACTCATCCACCTAAGAATCCTCATCTCTGCAACACTTAATTTTATGCCCATCTTTTAATGGCCAATATTCTGCGCCATAAAGCATTGCAGGTCTCACCATCTTATAGAATTTTCTCTTAAGTTTGATGGGTATTTTTCTATCAAACGACAAGCCCGATGCATTCCTCTACTTCAACCATCCAACTTTAATTCCATTTATAATATCCCCATCTATTTCACCATCACTCCGAACAATAGGCCCAAGATATCTAAAACGTGTACTCTTATTAATGATTTGATTGCCCAAAGTCATAATCCCTCTACTAGATCTATTACTACTAAAATAACACTCTATGTATTTAGTTGTAGATCTACTCAAACGAAAACCTTTGGACTTTAAGGTTGGCCTCCATAATTCATGTTTACCTTCAACTCCCTCTCTAGTCTTATCAAGAAGAAGAATATTATTAGCAAAAAGCTTCCATCATGGTGCATATTCTTGCAAATGTCTAGTAAGAACATCCATGACTAAAGCAAAACATATGGACTTAAGGCTGATACTTGATGTAATTCAACTTATATAGGAAAATATTTGGACAAACCACTTTGTGTTTTTTTTTAACCACTTTGTGTTTGAACACAAGTAACTGCTCCTACATGCACATCATTAATGACTTGAATATAAACATTATTAACCTATTTCTTTTCTTGAACTCTCCAAAGCACTTCTCTTAGAACTTTATCATATGCTTTCTCTTAATCTATAAATATCATATGTAGATCCTCCTTATTCTCTATGTTTCTCCATCAAACCTCTCTATAAATGTATAGCTTCCACAGTAGACCAACCTAGCATGAATCCAAATTGATTTTGAAAAATATCAGTATCATGATGTAATCTATGCTTAATAACTCTCTCCAATAGCTTTAAATAATGACACATCAACCTAATTTCTTTATAATTCACACACTTGTGAATCACCTTTATTCTTAAAAATAGGGATCAACACACGTTCTCTTCTCATCTGACATCTTTCTAGTCTTTAAAATAATATTGAAAAATTTCGTAAGCTAAGAAATTCCTTAATCTTCTAAGAATTTTCACACCTCTATTGGAATATGATCAAGTCCAATGACTTTTTTGGACTTCATTTTTTTGATATCTCTTAACTTTGATTTTACTAATACTCTGATAAAAACAAAAATATTTATCTTCATTTAGGATATTAAAGTCACTAAAGTCAATTGTATTCTCATAATTTTCATTGAAAAGGTTATCAAAATATTTCATCAATATTGTCTTCTAATAAAAATATATTTTTTATCTTTATCCTTAATGCACTTATCTTGAACTAAATTCTTACTTCTGCTATTTCTTTGCTTGACTAATTTATACATACATCTTTTGCCCTCCTTAGTTTCTAATATATTATATAAATCATTAAAAACTAAATTCGTTGCATCGCATATTGCTTTTTTAGACTCCTTATGAGCCTCTTTATATATTTCTCAATTTTTAAAATTTTATGTCTTTCCCAATTTTAATGTTTTTATATCTAAATTAATTTTTACATCAATGTTTCTTATTTTTTATCTTTTTGTTGCATATTTTGATTATGCCACAAATTATTTTAACTTTTAAAAGCTTTTCCTTTTGATATTTCATGTACATCTTTTATAACATTCTTAATATTATTAGTTTTTTCCCCATATAACATTAGCTTTCTTATGAACAGACAAACTCTTAAGATTTTGAATTTTTCTCTCAAAAATATTTTTTTAAGTGTTTTTAATTGCCCTTATCTAATCCTAAAACAACATTTTACTTTATTTTTTACATTATTCTCTTTCATCTTAAAGTCAAAAACTAATAAGCGACGTTGGGTACATTAATTTTTATTTGGAATAATTCTACAATCTTTCAATCTAAATGATCTATTTTTTATAAGAAAATAATCAATTTGAGTTTTACCATATCAATTCTTATAAGTGATAAGATGTTCATCTTTTTTCTTAAATAAAATATTAGCAATTACAAAATTATAAGCTAGGGCAAAATCTAATATGGTCTTACCATCTTCATTAATCGTTTTAAATCCACAGCCATTATTAATGCTTTTAAAATCATCTACCTCTCAACCAATATGCCCATTTAAAATATCCGTTAATAAAAAAATATTTTTTCAAGACGCATCTTTTGTATCAATTTTTCTAAGTCATTTTTAAATTTTAATTTTGAATACATATTCAAATATACTTAAGGGAAAATTATCAGCAGAATTCAAGTTGGATGGTTGAAGTGGCGGAATGCATCGGGCTTGTTATGTGATAGTAATGTACCCCTCAAACTTAAGGGAAAATTCTATAAGATGGTAGTGAGGCCTGCAATGCTTTATGGTGTCGAATGTTGGCCATTAAAAGAGAAGCATAATACTAAGTTAAGTGTGGCAGAGATGAGGATGCTTAGATGGATGAGTGGCTTTACCCTTAGAGATAGGATACGAAATGAGCATATACGTGAAAAGGTTGGAGTAGCTCCAGTAGAAGATAAGATTAGAGAGAGTCGCCTTAGATGGTTTGGTCACATAAAAAGGCGGCCTTCCGACGACCCAGTTAAGAGAGTAGAGGTATTAGATTTGACTTGTGTTAAGAAAGGTAGGGGTAGACCTAAAAAGACTTGGTTAGAAAATATTAGGAATGACCTTTCTTTATTAGATTTAAACGAGAATTTGACTTTTAATAGGACACAATGGAGAAAAAGGATTCATGTAGCCGACCCCACGTAGTGGGATAAAGGCTTGATGTTGTTGTTGTATTCAAATATACTTAATGAGGATAAATACTTATAATATTAATAATCTTAGCACGAATAACAATCTTTAAAGCTATAATTCTATCTTTAATTCTATTAATTTCTAAAATATTATCCTTCAAACTCCTATCTATAATTACATTTATACCATTTTAAATACAAGTCTTACCTGAATATCATAGTTTAAATTTTAAACTATTAATCTTCTTAGCCTTTTCTCCAACCCATTTAGTTTCCAGATTGTATAGAATATTTATCTTCCTATGAATTATAATATCTATTAATTTCATTAATTTGTCTGTATGGGAATATATATTTCAAGTTTCTATCCTAATTCTAGTTTAATGGATTAACTTTTTTTCTCCATTCGTCCATGATGTGGGAATCCTTGCACACTTATTGATGTATTCAGGGTATACATCGTGTCGCTTTCAGGAAATTTCCTAGTATTAATAAAATATATTATTCATGTCATGTTTATTCAACAAATTTTTTGTTGGCTGCCGACTTCATAATACAATCCTCTACTTTTCTCATTTAGGACTTAGGACCTGACAATAACAGTGTTATAAAATATAAATTATGATGTTAGTTGACGACAACGAAGTGGTGATTAAGGTGAATTGTGTGGCATTTGATTACAAGTTGAGTGCTCATGTTCCTAATTTATGGCAATAATGTTGTCTTTATAAGTATATTTAATTGCTTGTCGTATTACAAATTATTTGTGTTATTTTTGTGAAATGCAATTGGCCAAATTGAATTTGATGACATAGATTTACCAAGTTTCAATTATTTAGGACAAGTCATATATTGTTTATTAGGCATAATGATAATGATATGAAATGAGATAGAGAATGCAAAAAAGGTATTAAGTAGAAATGCTTGCATTTGTATGATTGAATGATGAAGTACACTTCGTTGTTGTATTCATTTGCCCACATGCATGGAAGTACTTCCATTAGTACTATTTAGATAGTGGCTCCTGTGATGATTGTATTATTTATAAAAATTATAACGCTATGATATACATATGAAGTATATAGATATGCATAATA